AGTCCATCACTGCCCTCCCGCACCTCGGCTGGCTGTCCTCTGGTGCTTGAGCGTCTGTTCCCGTCTCATCCTAGGGGAGGGGGCTACCCAGGACCAGTGCAGGCTCTCAGGCAGGTGCAGTCCCTGCCCCGCTGTGCCCCAAGATATGGCTCCCAGGTGAGGAGAAGATGGTGGGGGTCGCAGTCCTCAACCCCAGCACCTGGGTGTCCGGCTTGATCTTCTTCCCCCTCTTGTAGAACCCAGCAGAACAAAGGCCCAGCTAACTCCTCTCACTGCTGGTACCTCCTTGTTCAGAGTCCACATCTTTCCCCAGATTTAAAGGCCAAGGTGAGGGCAGCCCCACAGCTGTAGAGTGAGCCCCAGAATGGGCAATGCATCTGCGGGGAGGTAGAAGCTCAGAGCAGCTTGGCTTCAGACCATGAGACTCAGAGTCCAGTCCTGTGGAGTCGCTGAGAGCCTTCCTCCTCACTGAGCCGCTTTGGCCTGGCTGCCCAGCAGGCTCTGAGCCTCACTATGAGTGGACAGCATCTGGTTCGGGGGTTAGGCCACAGAAAGCTGTATCTCTGAGCTCCCCTCCCCAGCAGTGAGCACCCTGGATAATCTGTGACTTGCCTTGGACAGAGCAGCAAAGAGTCCGTGGGATCATCACTAAATATGGCCAACTCGGAGCCTGCAACTGCTGCCAGGTGAGAGGCGGAGGCCTGGGGGCCTCGGTGACCCACAGAGCTGGCCCTGCAGGAGGCTCTGCCCACCTCCTCCCCACGAGTATGGGTTTGCTGAGGTGTCTGTGGGGGCCCAGAACGGGATTTCACCAGAGGAAGTGGTGTCAGCCGTCTTGGGGTGAAGTGTGCAGAGCAGACTTCCCTTCTCTGTTTCTTCCCTCTTCTGATCCTCTGGCCCTGCTTGGTGCCTGCGTCCCTCCCCCTCCCCAAGATTCCTCCTGTCACAGGACTCTGACCTGAGCCCATCCCTAAGCCCCACTGCCTCTTTTTCAGCATCACCGACTTCACTGGTGGGCACACTGTCCTCTCCTTTTTGCTCCTGGGGATGCCGAGGCCTGGAGCCTTGGGGCTGAATGTGTCTGGGCTGGAGTGTTGGGCAGCAGAGAAGACAAGGGCCCCCTGGGCTGTGCTGGGAGGGCCTGGAGAGGGTGGCTGCCCAGCCCGAGGGCTGATCTGGGGCTTGCAATCTGGGGCCATTGATGTCCTAGTTTTTCATTACTTTACCCAGAATACCTGAGGGCAGTTTGTCAGGAGGTTTGAAGTGGTCCATGTAGGCTTACAGTTTGGAAGCTCACAATTCAGGATCAGGCGGTCCCATCAGTTTGGCATCTGGTGGAGGCTGGCAGTGGTGGTGGTGTGCACAGGAAGGATCCTACAGAGAGCCAGCCAGGAAGCAGAAGCTAGCCAGACTAGGCTTATGTAAGCAACCCTCTGGTGAGAACTCTGCCAAGGGCAAGCTCCAGGGACCTCGCAGTGGTCCCACCTCTGGGTCCCCTCATTAGGTCAAGTGTCTTAATCTACCCTAGCATCCAGCCATTAACTGTCAACATGGGACTTGGGAGTTAAAACACTGTGTGGGGAGCGCAGTCCTGTGTGGTCCATTAGAGGAGATAAGGAAAGTGAGCAGCTTCAAGGAGACAACCAAAAGACTGTTTCTGTTGAAGCCGCAGCACTGCTGACCAGCATGGCCACTCCCACCCTGTTTTTGGCTGACCCCAACTGATCCAGCAGGAGCGGTCACTGCCCCTCACGACTGGCCTTCCCATCCCAGACTTTCCCACTTCACGTTACTCAGCCCCTCTTTTTGTTTCTTAAAGAATTTATCAGTATATTAGATTCTCAGGTTGATGGTAAGTGCCTGATAATTATACAACACAGTTCTCAACTGTCATGCTCCCCAGCCCCTCTTGTCTGTAGTCCGTGTGCATGCGATGAAACAGTGCTTCCCTACCTCAAAGTATGTAAAAAATGCTCTGGTTTTAGTCTGGTTTAGTCTGGTGTTTTCTACCCTGGCTTCAATGAACCCTTGTATTTCCCATGTTCCTTTCTCCAAAGCCACAGAAGAGGGGAGAAAGGCCCCTCTCAGGGCTGGACAACTTTTATCATTTTAATGTCAGCAGCTCGGTTTCTACAAAGAAGCCTGCTGGTGTTTTGATCAAGAATGTTTTTATTCAATTATTTGAAAGGCAAGGGGGCGGGGTGTAGGGAAGTGGAGAGCGAGTGTTCCCATTGGCTCCCTCATTCCCCTAAATGCTCTCAGCAGCCAGGGAGGGCTGTGCCAGGATGAAGCCAGGCTCCTAGGACTCCATCTGGGCCTCCCACTTGCAGGACAACACTCACGTGTTTGAGTCATCACCTGCTGCTGCCCACTGTGTGCATTAGCCAGAAGCTGGGTGGAAACTGGATCCAGGACTTGAACCCAGGGTCTTCTACATGGGATGTGACATCCCAAGCGTCATCTTAGCCACTACACCAAATGCCTGCCCTTGATCCAGGATGCTTTGAATGTGTGCATCCGCTGGGGAGAACTGACCCCTTGACAGTGAGCCTGTGGATCCATAAACCCTGGGTATCTCTCTCTCCATGGACTTAGAACTTGGGTTTCTCTCGGGAGCACTGTGCACACAGACCTTGGCCCTCCTTTCAGATCCTCCTGGGCACTGAGGAGGCAGCCTCATGCCTGGCCCCTCTGGTGTCCCAGCCAGACTCTTGTCTTTTATTGGCCCCTCTGCTGTTTGCCCCATCCCCAAAACACAGTCCTTCCTCCATCTTCCAACTTGGGGAATGCACCTCCCTTTACCTAAATATGCGGGCCGAATCCCGGGCCACCCTTGAGCGTATCCTTATCCTCTCTCCCCATGGCCAGGAACAGTGCTGTTTCCAAAACCTCCTTTTAAGCCACCTGATTCTTCCACTCTGCACTGCAGGGTCCTAAGCTGAGATACTCTACTTGCTGCTGGGTTGTTGCAGCAGCTTCCATACTGTTCTCCCTCATCCATCACCATCTCTATCCCAACACAAGCCTTCTCTACCTAGCTGCAAAGGGAGCTTTTATGATGTAAATCTCATCATTTACTGTTCTGCTTGGAACTCACAAAGTGTGGCTACTGCCTGTGTAATAAAATCCAGATTCTTCTGTGGCCCTGCCTACTGTTCTCATCTTGTTTCCCAGAACTCTCCTTTGCTCCTCTTGTTTCAAACACAGGGCCTTTGCACATGGCTTTCCCTACCTGGAATGGTCTCCCCACAGTCTGCCCAGACAACTCACTGGTCTTTTATTCCCTGACAAATAGGACTTTTTATGTGTAACTATCAAAAATCTGAATTCTACACAAATTCTTGAACTGGCAGTTTATATCTATGAGCCTGTTCAAGTTTAGCAGCTGTGTCATTATCATCGTAGATGGGATATATATAGGAGCAAGCCTTCTCTGGGTCTTCTCCAGTGTTGTCTTCAGTCAGTTTATTGATAATTTCTTTCATGACATTTGTACCTCCTGGGTCGACATCGTCTTCCCAATTTGGTGGACCTGTTGGAGGTGTGACGAGTGTAGAGTTCTTCTGTATCTAGTGAGTTTCCCTCTCTCTCTCACCTACCTACCTCTCACTCTGCTTTAGTAAAATGAACACAGAAGAGAGAAAACCACCTATGTTCTTGATATGAACGTGAGCTTCAGTCATAATGTGCTTGTGTGTTGACCATGGAACACCTGTTGTCAGAGGTGAGATCCGTGCCATGAGGTTAATCCGGCCATTTCTTGACTTTTCTAAATGCATCTTAATCATTCTGCGAATTATAAAGACTCATTCCAGCACATGACCCCTCAGGCCATCCCATGGGGCTGAGGTTACTTGAGTGCTGGTGACTGGTATTTTCCCAGTAGTTCTTTCCTTGAATGAGGCACCAACTTCCTCATCATTCAGCTGTTTCTTAGAAAATGGACCAACTGCTTTCTTCTTGGCCACCTTTTTGCCACCTTTGGCAGTCTGCTTGTTCTTGCCAGCCGCCATGGTGCTGCTCAGAGAGCCAAAGGACTCCCTGCTCATGCTGAGGTATTAACTTCCTTATTTCCAAAGCATCTACTCAGAGATGCCCCATCGCTCCTTCTCAGAACGTCCTGATTTTTTTCTTTTTAACAACAGTAATGCTGATGGTTCGTTGCCATTCCTTCTCTTAAACACAAGACTTGTCTTGCTCTCTCTGTAATCCCAGCCTGTAGCACGGTACCCTATAGGAACTCAGTAAACATTTCTGGGGAGTGGAATGAAGAAATGCAGGGTGAGAATGAGCAGCAGGTGGGGAAGAACCCTCTGGTTCTAATTTCCATGCCCCTGGTGAGCACAGCATCTGCCTGGGCTTTCTCATGGTGCTGCAGTGAGGTGACACATGGGGAGCACTTGACACCGTACTTGCCGGTTGTTACTAGGGTTAGAGCCAGGGCAGGCTTGGGTGCTGGGAAGGCTAGCAGTGTCTGGGGACTTGTGTGCTCTCGTCTGAGGCAGGCGCTGAAGGAAAGTTCTGAAGGAGGGGTCTTGGGTGTGACTGTATTAGAGTTTATTTTTGGTGGGAGAGACTGAGTTGAAGGTGGTGTCGTTTTCTCCTTAGATGTTCGGGCAAGTCCCCTGGGCGTGTATTTTTGTGGGCAAGGGCTAGGAAGTTGAGAGGAGGGGTGGTTGTTTGCCTCAGTTCCTCTGTGGCCACCGACACCTGCTGGCTACCAGGTCATCTCTGTGTTCTTTTATCAGTGGCAGCTCTGATCCTCCCCACTGGAAGTGTGGTTTCCTCTAAGGAGGTCACCTTTCAGTCCTGATGCAGGTCAAGAGGTTTTCCCATGGATTAAGCCTTGAACACAGAGCTTTAGGGTCCTCTCACCAAGGCTCCCACTGGGAAGGTGACAGGGAGGTGCTACCAGGGAGGTTGAGCTGCACAGGGTGTCTCCATTCACTTGTGATGTAACAAAATACCGGACACTGGGTAATTCATAAAGAATATTTATTTTATTTTACTCTATTTTATTTTTAAGGAATACAAATTTCATATGTACAACTTCAGGAATATAGTGATTCTTCCAAACATACCACCCTCCCACCCCTTCTCCCCTCTCCCCTACCCAGTCTCATGCTTCATTAAGATTCATTTTCAATTAACTTTGTGCACAGAAGACCAACTCTACACTAAGTAAATATTTCAACAGTTTGCACACACACACAAAATTTAAAAAGCTGAGAAGCAGTTTTACAGTTACCTCATAATACAACTCATTGAGGACAGAGGTCCTGCATGGGCAGTTAGTGCACAGTGACTCCTGTTGTTAATTTAACAACACTCATGTACGATGTCAGTGACCACCCAAGGCTCTTGACATGAGCTGCCTAGGCTATGGAAGCCTTTTGAATCCACAAACTCTGTCAGTGTTTAGACGAGGCCAGAGTCAAAGTGGAGGTTCTCTGCTCCCTTTAGAGGAAAGTACCTCCTTTGATGGCCACTTCTTTCCACTGGGGTCTCATGCACAGAGGTCCTTCATGTAGAACATTTTTTGCCACAGTGTCTTGGCTTTCCGTGCCTGAAATGCTCTCACAGGCTTTTCAGCCAGACCAGAATGCCTTAAGAGCTGATTCTGAGGTCAGAGTTAGAACAGTTATTTACTTCTCATAGTTCTGGGGTCTAGAAGTTCAAGGTCAAGGTGCTGGTGATTGGGGTTCTGATGAGGTCCTGGTCTTTTGTTCCCCAGTGGGTGCCTTGTGGCTGTGCCTTACAGGGCACACAAGCAAGAAGGGGCTGAAGCTAGTTCCCTCCAGCCCTTTTATAAGGCACAGAGCTATTCATGAGGGAGAGAAGTTCCCATCTTAGTACCAGCACAGTGGAGATTAAATTTGAACAGTGAGCTTTGGAGGGGACACACTGATACCATAGCAGAAGTCAAGGGGGGTGATGCTGGCATCCCGGTGAGAACCAAAGGAGAAGGGGGTTAGAAGTGGCTCTGTCCTCTTTTTCTTTTCTTTGACAGGCTGAGTTAGGGAGGGAGGGAGGGAGGGAGGGGGAGAGAGACAGAGCGAGTGTTCCTCCATCCAGTGGTTCACTCCCTAAATGGCCTCAATAGCTGGAGTTGGGCCAGGCCAAAGCCAGAGCCAGGAACTTCCACTGGGTCTCCCATGTGGATGCAGGAGCCCAGGTACTTGGGCCATCTTCCTCTGCTTTCCTAGGAGCATTAGCGGGGAGCTTGACGGGAAGTTGAGCAGTTGGGATTTGAACGTCACAATGCTGGCCCCGTCCCTTTCTTAATGCAGTGATTCAATGAGATTCAATGGATGCTCTGTCCATACCACAGGCCCTCAGTGTTCTTTGCCCCACCTTCTCCAAGCTTCCTTTGAATTCCTTCAGACTCGATTCTGAGTTGTTTATTTAGGGGAATAGAGTGGTCTGTATTGCTATCCTAGAAAAGAAAAAAGGTATGTGGAGATGGTGTGGTGTGACAGCCAGGGTGGAGAGATGGGCAGGGCCCTAGCACTCAAAGGGCTCAGGAAGCACCGAGCACCTTCCTGCTAGGTCAGGATCACATGGGAGGGTTGGGGTGAGGAAGGGTAATGGGGACAGTGTTGAGAGGGGCACCCATGTAGGGAGGTGTTTGGGGAGGAAGGAAGGGCTGAGGGCAGACACTAAGGCAGGCCGGGGTGAGGACTTACCTTTATTCCCAGTATTCTCGTATGTCTCCTCAGTGTGTTGTAAGTGTTCCCTGTATGGGAGTGAGAGTGGGAATAGGTAGTCTGGGCAGAGCAGAGGTGAGACACATACAGGGCCTGGCTGTCCTTGCAGGCATCCTGCAACGTGGCCTGGCCTCAGGGTGAGTGCTATGGTTTGGGGCTTTCAGAAGGAGGCTGCCTGGAGGAGGAATCGAGGCAGTGTGTGGGGTGGCCTGGCAGAGGTCCCCCAGTGCTGACTGGAGGTGGATATTCTGGGGAAGCTGCTGGTAGTGGGGAGACAAAGGGGAGGCAGAGGAAGGAAGGGTCAACCCCTGTTCTCTGCCTCTGTGGGCACTGCGTTGGCTAAGCTGGGGGAATGACACCAGGTTCTCTGGGCAGGGACTCAGCCTGGTTCCTGTGCGGAAGAGGGCTGGAGGAGACAGCTGTAAAGACACAGCAGGGAGAGGGGCTTCCAGCAGGGAAAATACGGTGATGGCAGGAAGGGGCAGGAGAAAAAGGAGAGGTGGAGGTGAGGAGGACAGGAGAGGTGGGGCTGGCAGAGGACAGGGAGGCAGAGACTGCCAGTGCTTTAGAGAAAAGACAGGCTCAGGAACCACAGGCAGAGCATGCATGGGTCCCCTGTGAGGTGCACCGTGGGCCAAGGACAGCTTGGGCAGAGAGCAAGAGAGAAGAGGGACAAGTGGAAGAGTGCTGCATCTGGGAAGAGGTTCTGAGAGAGACAGCAGGACGGAGGCTGAGGAAGTCAACAGCCCGGGTTGTCCGAGGGAGAGGACACGGACCTGGTGAGTTGGGGCCTCGAGATGGGCTGTGAATCACGCTGGGGGCTTTGTACAAGGCTGCTAGCTCCCTGTTTCTCAAACCGGGACCCACCCCACCCACCCCTAGAAGTCCAAGCACTCACCTGGCTGGGGTTTTGGCTGTGGCCGGCCGACCTGTGGGAGGACCAAGGGCGCATCAGTGTCACACGTATGGCCACTCCACCCGCCTTCTCTGCCATGTCCTGCCCTGAGACTGCTCAGAGGTGCCAGGGCAGCAGTGTAGCTGGGAGCAGCTGGTACCCAGTGGGCACTCTGAGGCCAGACCACACATGTCCTCCCTGCCCCCTCCCCGTGCCCTGCAGAAGCAGCCCCTGTGCTCTCCCTCTGCGTGGGGTTTGCACACATGCAGTGGCTTTTCTGTCACTCAGGCTTCTGTGCCCTCCTAGGGTGTTCCGATGCCACCCCCAAGCTGGTCCTGTCTCCTGAAATCCATGCTGTCTCTCCCGTACCCAGTCCCCTCCACGTCCTGCTGAGGGCCTCTGCCACGTGGATGTCCTTTCTACCTCCCTCCTCATCTCGGGGCTCTCCTCATGCACGAAGACAGCCTCTGACCACAGCACTTGCCACTCCCCCAAGTCAAGCCCGTCTACTCCCACTCCTCATCCCGGCCCTGCAATTCATTTCTTTAAAACATTGGGTTTAAGAATGCTGAAATATGAAACACTGCCATTTTTCACACTGCAGCTTTCTTCCGTTTGCTGTACCACTGAAACTTGGTCATTTTTTGAAATTATTTTCAATGGGATATGAAATAGACCTTCTTAGTTGTTTCTAAATGTACAGTTCATAATTTATGCATATTCTGTGTGTATATTACAGCTGCAGAATTCTTTCTCTTGTACAATTGAAACTCCGTCCCTGTTAAGTCACAGCTCCTTATTCTTTTCTGTAGCCTCTGGCACCTACCAGTCTACTTTCTGCTTCTGTGCATTTTAATGCTGTAGACGCCTCATGCGTGTGGAATCAGCAATTGCTTGTGTCTGATTTCAGTTAGCTTCATCTGTGTTGTGCCCTGTGCCAGAACGTGTCTACTCCTGGTGAATAATATTCTATATGGGTAGAACACATGGGCTCATTCATTTATGGGGGGTGGACATTGTTTGTTCTGCCTTTTATCTGTACTGAATAATGCTGCTGTGAGGATACCTTGTTCTTTGGATGTAATTGCCAAAGTGGGATTGCTAGATCATACAGTTCTATTTTAATTTTTGAGGGGGGAGGGGGGTTCCTCCATTGTTTTCCACAGTGATTATACCATTTTCCATATCTACCAACAGTACACATGGGCTCCAATTTTTGCACATCCTCTCAACACGTTTTCTGTTTCCTTTTGTTTTTATAGCAGTTGTCCTAACTACTTATACTTTGGATCTGCCATTTCACTGATGGTTTGTGCTGTGGAGTATCCTTTTTTATATGCTTGTTAGCCATTTGTACATCTTTGAAGGAATGCCTTTTCGAATCCTTTGCCCACTTTTAAATTGGATTTTATTGAGTTGTAGGCATTTAAAAAATATATTTGAAAGAGTTACACAGAGAAGCAGAGGTGGAGAGAGATCTTCCACGCACTGGCTCACTCCCCAGTTGGCTGCAATGGCTAGAGCTGTGCTAATCTGAAGCCAGGAGCTTCTTTGTGGTCTCCCACATGGGTGCAGGGGCCCAAGGATTTGGGCCATCTTCTACTGCTTTCCCAGGCCACGGCAGAGAGCTGGATCAAAAGTGGAGCAGCCAGGACTTGAACTGGCGCCCATGTGGGATGCTGGCACTGCAGGTGGCAGCTGTATCCACTGTGCCACAGCACTGGCCCCAAGTTGTAGGGATTTTGTATTTTCTGGGTATTAAGCTCCTTAAATGATTTACAAGTGTTTTCTCCTATTCCATAGTTGATCTTTTTGTCATTTGATAAGCAAAATGTTCAAGTGTAGTAAGTCTGATTTGTCTAGTTTTTGGTTTTAGTATCTTACCTAAGAAATTATTGCTGAGTCTAGTGTCTTAAAGCTTTCCCTCATGTGGTCCTCAAGTTTTATGGTCTTGAGGCTTTCGTTTAGATCTTTAATCCATTGGAGTTAATATCTCAACGTGGGGTAAGGATCTACACTGTCCACTAGAGAGACTGTTCTGTTCTTACTGAGTGCTCTTGGCACCTGTGGAAATCACTGGACTGCAGATGTGAGGCTGGCTCTCTGGACTTCTATCATTGGTAGGTGCCATTTTGTTGAGATTACTGTAGCTTTGTAACTGGTTTTGAAATCAGGAAGTACAGGTCTTCCATCTAGTTTATTCTTTCTCAAAACTGTCTTGGTGTTTTAGAGTCTTAGTATTTCACCTTAATTTTATTCATGCAAAAAATGCCATTTTGATGGGGGTTGAGTGTGTACATCCTAGATGTAGTATGGCTATCTTAGCAATATGCTTTCACTGAAAGTCTTTTTGTATCTTAACTTCTAGTAATGCTGTATAGTTTTCAGGGTATATTTCTTGTTAAAAAAATTTATTTGAAAGGCAGAATTACAGAGAGGCAGAAAAGAGCAAGATCTTCCATCCATTATTTCACTCCCCAAATAGCCACAATGGCTGGAGCTGTGCTGATCCAGAGCCAGGAACTCCATCCAGGTCTCCCACATGAGTGCAGGGGCCCAAGCACTTGGGCCATCTTCTACTGCCTTCCCAGGCAATCAGCAGAGAGCTGGGTGGGAAGAGGAGCAGCCAGGACTCGAACTGGCGCCCATGTGGGATGCTGGTGCTGCAGGCAGAGACTTAGCCTACTATACCACAGCCCCAGCCCTCACAAAACTTTTGTAGGATCTGATCCATTCTCTCCATGCACAGCACCACTGCCTTAGACTGATGTGCCTGCCCACCTCCAGCCCCTCTACCACAGGCTGGCCCTTGTCCACAGAAGGAAATGTAGGTGTAATTTTGCAGGTACACCTTGTCTGGGTCCAGAGGTTCCTAGGTATGAACGGCAGGAACCTCTCTCCTGTTTCCTCCTCCAGTTTTAGGAATGGTTTCTTCCACCTTGAAGGCCGGTGACTTCACACCACCCTTCCCACTGAACTACTTTCTATTACTTGAGAATTTTTTTCACTGTCACTGCATCGGGGAAGTTCTCCCCGGCTACTTCTCATGTAATCACAGCCCTTACCAAATGAGGCCACTGACCCTTAAGATGTGTCCCTCCACCAGCTGAGTTCCGGAGGCTATGCTTCAGCTACTTTTTTTTTTTTTTTTTTTTTGACAGGCAGAGTGGACAGTGAGAGAGAGAGAGACAGAGAGAAAGGTCTTCCTTTTGCCGTTGGTTCACCCTCCAATGGCCGGCATGCTGCGGCCAGCGCACCGCGCTGATCCGATGGCAGGAGCCAGGTGCTTCTCCTGGTCTCCCATGGGGTGCAGGGCCCAAAGACTTGGGCCATCCTCCACTGCACTCCCGGGCCACAGCAGAGAGCTGGCCTGGAAGAGGGGCAACTGGGACAGAATCCGGCGCCCTGACCGGGACTAGAACCTGGTGTGCCGCGCTGCAAGGCGAAGGATTAGCCTAGTGAGCCGCGGCGCCGGCCTTCAGCTACTTTTATGTCCTCGATTTCAAACCAGGCCTGGCAGGAGGCACAAGCACCAAGACATGGTGCCCATACATGGACATGGACAAGTGAAGGGAGCTGCCCCTGCAGGATGCAGGGTGGGGTCCAGAGCAGACAGAGATGGAGCTTAAGTGTGGGGAGCAACTCGGACTAGACTAAGTTACTGGAATTAAGACTTATTCTATGCATCTGCTCTCCCACAATATGGCGCTGGGAGAGGAGGAAACAGCTTCTACACAGCTGCCTCCAGTTCAACCAATAAACTGTAGGACCTGCTCCTGATTGGAGGAAAGCAGCGTACTCAGCGTGTGGGTAGCAGAGTTGGGATTGGTAGAAGAGGACTATAAAGGAGGAGAGAGACGGCATGCACCAGGAACATCTAAGGGGAACATCTATCTGAAGGAACACCTGTGCAGCCCCCGAGAGAGCCGGCCGGCGGTGTGCCACTCCCCCGCGGAAGTGGGGAATGTGGCAGGGGGAACCGCCCTTCCACGGAGGTGGAAGGGACGGTAGCCAACCCGGGAAGAACCAGCAGCAAACCCGGGGAGGGCCGAGCAGACAAAAGAACAGCGCAGGGTCCTGTGTCGTTCCGCCACGAAGAGGGGGAGCGACATAATGGTGCTGTGACTCGGATAGGAAACCTAGGCAGGGTTTAGTGTTGCTCCTCCACGAAGACGGGGAGCGACAAGTAAGGAGCAAGAAGGGACGAGAATTGGGAGTCTGTCAGGGGCTGAGACCCGAGGACAGGGGTAGAGAGGGAGGGCCATGTGAGGGAGAGAGAGTTTAGGGCTGGAGATAATTAAGGGAAAGAGAAAGCTGGCAAAGGCCTGGACGGGGCCCAGGAGCAGGGGGAGGACATTGAGGGAAGGGTCAGGCGTGGGGCCCGAGGGGTGAGGACACCAGTGGTCACCAAGGCCTCGGCAGGGGTGTGCTTAGAGACTGCCAGGGCAGCTGGACTCACCAGGAGTGATGATGAGCGAGGTTCCCCTGAGGGCCTGCCACTCCTGCCAGCCGTCTGTCTGTGTTTGGCAGAAGTACTTGGAGTCGTCCCTGAGCTGCAGATTCGAGATCCTGAGGGAGCCGCTCTCCTGCCCCTGTGTCCAGTTCAGGAAGAGCCGATTCTTGTAATCCTTGTGGCTGAAGGACTGAGTGTGGTTGTAGATAAACTCCCCGTGGAAGTGGCCTCTTCTCCAGGTTATAGTCAGGTGGGGATTCTTGGCCAGCTTCAAGGGATACCAGAAGGAGAAGGGGATTTCAACAGAGCCACCAATGGGGGCCGAGAGAAGTGCCGGTTGGGAGACTCCATAGGGAGGGTGTACAGTGGATCCAGCCGATCCAGCATCTGCAGGTTCCTCTCTTTGTCTCACCACAGAGGAGAGCAGTTGGCCACTGGCTATGAGACTGGACAGCAAGATCTGATTTCAGCAGAGATAGTGACATCAGCCATCTTGGGATGAAGCGTGCAGGGGCGGACTTCCCTTCTATTTTTTCCTTCTTCTAATCGTTCCCTCCACGCCTTTCCCAGAGCCACCTCCACCCTGCTTCCCTCCCCCTCAAGGTTCCTCCTGTCCCAGGACCCTTTGATCTGAACCCGGCCCTAGCCCCACTGCTCCTTTTTCACCGTCACTGACTTTGTTGGTGGGCACACTGTCCTCTCCTTTTTGCTCCCGTGGACACTGAGGCCTGGATGTGTCCCAGCTGGGCTGCTGGGCAGCAGAGAGGACAAGAGTGGATGGAAGATCTCTCTGCCTTTCCATAAAGAAAGCTTTAAAACAAAGTCTACAGGTGAAAAGAAACTTTCCCCCATCCTGTCCCTGCCTCCTGTGTCATCCAGGCACAAACTCTTCTCTCACCCTGTAACCGCCAAGGTCACTATTGCCTGGGGTTCAAAAGAAGGGGTGACTTACCCATAACTGTAAGACTTTCTCAGCAATTTGCAAAGAAATCTCTGTACTTCGTAGTTCAGAAGAAAAGATCTTACTGGAAATGATTCACAAACACTTAAAAACATCAGTTTTAAAACATGAGAAGTATTAGTGTGAAGCTCACGGAATACACAGCACTGCCAGTCACCTGAAAAGCCTGGTCTGGCGTCACACATCACGCCAGGAAGAGGCCTTGCTGACCTCAACGTGGGTCCAGCTTGGCCAGGGCCTGAGCAGGTGGGGGTGCTGCTGAGAAGCACCCACAGCCCCGTCTGCACCCAAAGGTTGTGGTGCCACGCTCATCACTGAGGTGGAGTGTGTACATACCAGGTGGTACACAAGACACCCACTGGTGCACTCCAAGGCAGAGGAACATTTAACACCTTCAGATGAAAATACAAGGCAGTTTTGTTCCTACTGAATTGCACAGGTGGTCTCACTAGGACGCAGACATCACAGTTCACCTCTAATGCCACAGCATCCTGAAGGATGGGAGCAAATCCACAGCTTCTATCACCGACTGCAGCTCACTCCTAAAGGATGTGCTGGTTTTGTGGCCCCAAGCAATGTCTATCCTACAAAACACTGTCGTGTGCACTCGGAAATTATTTTCTGAGTTGAAGTCTTCCAAGTGAAGAATTTTAGTGGGTTTTGAACTCATCTATTAAGAATTAGTAAAAAAAAAAAAATTAGTAAATGCATGGGGCTGGCACTGTGGTGAGTGGGTGAAGCCACTACCTTCAGTGCCAGCTTCCCATATGGGCGCCGGTTCAAGTCCTGGCTGCTCCACTTCCGATCCATCTCTCTGCTATGGCCTGGGAAAGCAGAAGATGGCCCAAGTCCTTGGGCCCCTGCACCTACATGGGAGACCCTGAAGAAGCTCCTGGCTTCTAATCGGTGCAGCTCTGGCCAACTGGGGAGTGAACCAGCAGATGGAAGCTCGCTCGCTCACTCTCGTGCTCTCTCTCTCTCTGCCTCTCCTTCTCTGTGTAACTCTTTCAAATAAATAAGTCTTTTAAAAAATTAGTAAGTGCAACATGGCACCTATTCTATTTAAGAGGTACCCTCTTCAGTTATGAAGGTCATTAAAACTAAGAAGCAACTGGACTTCCATCTAGAACTTCATAAAGTGTTAAACCATGATTTAAAAATGTTTTCTACTTTGTGTTAATGTTTTAAAGCAAAAAGCTATTTTGCACTGTTAACCAATAAAATATTTTAAAACTTATTTCATCATTAACATTACATTTCAATGTGTATTATAATGCTTATATAATCGGTACTGTTTTTTAAAGTGAAGATGCACAAACTCTTGGAGACAACTCTGTTCGGTATCCATTGTGACTAGATGAGAACCGAAGTACCCCAGCCTTTGCTGTAAACCACCACCTTATTGTGCTCAGAGATTCCAGGTCAGGAATGTGGAATAGCCACAGAAGAGATGCCTGGATCTCAGCTGGGAAAACAGAAGCTGGGGATTAGAACCACCAGATTCCTGGCTGCATCATGGCTGGTGGCAGCTGTCGGCTGGAGCCTGCGCATGGCTGCTCAGGCCCTCTCACACCAAAGTGACTGTTCTAATAGTGAACAACTGAAGAAGTAAAAACTGCCAGTTTTATTTATTTATTTTTTGATAGGCAGAGTGGACAGTGAGAGAGAGAGAGAAAAGTCTTCCTTTTGCTGTTGGTTCACCCTCCAATGGCCGCCGTGGCCAGCGCGCTGCGGCCGGCGCACCGCGCTGATCTGATGGCAGGAGCCAGGTACTTCTCCTGGTCTCCCATGGGGTGCAGGGCCCAAGCACTTGGGCCATCCTCCACTGCACTCCCTGGCCACAGCAGAGAGCTGGCCTGGAAGAGAGGCAACCGGGACAGAATCCGGCGCCCCAACCGGGACTAGAACCCGGTGTGCCGGCGCCGCAAGGTGGAGGATTAGCCTAGTGAGCCGTGGCGCCAGCCTGCCAGTTTTTTTAAAACCTGGCATCACAAACTAGCACAGTATCATTTCCAGCATATTCCATTAGTCAGGCATTCACAGAGCTCACATTCAAGGAAAGAGACCCTGGACGTGTTACTGAGAACGTCAGAATGTGGAGAATGTAAAACTTCCATGATTCTAAGGCTGGGGCTCAAACCACTACACTGGGCTGTCTGGCTGCACACAGATGTCCATATTCCCAAAAAGCCTCCATATTTGTCTTATAATCTTGTCAAGTACTGTTGGCTTGGCTGATATTTTTATTGTTTGCAGAAGGGGTGGTGAGAAAAGATCTACTTGAACCATTCTCTACCTCCTCTCAGAGTGTGAATTAGCAGGAAGCTGGACTGAAGCCATAGCTGAGGATCAAACCATGCATTTCAATACAGTTGTAACAGAGGGTGAGGGTGGGAAAAAAGGAGAAGTGGTTCAGGCTGAGTGGCTTCATCACAGGGAATTATTATTTATTGCTCTACCTTATGGACAGCGCCATCTCCCTTCACCTGGACCTCACTGTCACCACTGGATAGAAGTACACAGACACAGACACTCTCCCCCTTTTACCAAGCGATACATCCCTAAGACCTGCACACAAGCACTGGGGATGCAGGCACCTGGACACCGGCTAAGGGAGCAGACAGCAAAGAACTCACTCCACCAGTTTAACAATCTCAGGCCACATCCTGGCTGGTCGAAGTGTTTATTGAACTAATCACTAGGCAAAAAAAGGCTAGGAAAGATGTTCCAAAAATACAAGGAGACTTGGGGCTCTTTCTATCAAACACAGACAGTTATCACTCCCCCCACCAAACAGCAGCAAACAGGTAGAGAACAGAGCCATGCGCATCAGGTCAGGGACTCGCAGCTTCTCTTCCAGAGAGAAAGGTCAGCTAGAAAGGCAAAGCCCACTGCTCTGGCCCTGCAGTGGCCAGGGCTGGGCTGGCAGGATGTGTCATTTGCTCTTTTCTCCTGTTTGTTTTTCCCAGATGGCCATGTCCTTGAGGTGGGGAGGGCCCCAGAGTCATGTCAGAAATCCTGTGAGGGGGAAAAGGAAGAGAGAGAGACCAAAGGGCAAACACGTACCGCACTCTTCCGGATCAGGACAGTAATGTCCACTGCCGCTCTGGGCTACTCCTGAAACTCCAGACTGCCCTGGGTGGGTGCTCATTCCATAGCTGACAGGCACAGGGGTCGCCTGCCACGATTTCCCAAGGATACACAACCCCTGCTTGGGGTACACTTACCTCGATATTCAGCTCTGTGGTATCTAGGAGGTCCAGCCCGTGTTCACTGGGGGAAGAGTGGCCATTTGGTTGCTAGACAGAATGGGGTCAGAAGTCAGAACGGTCTTTCCTCACTTCTATCCAGCACAGAAACAAGGTCTTTTCCAGTCTCTTCAGTACAGTGTGAGGGCAGTGGTCGGTCCCTGCAGCCCAGTGTGGGCGTACAGGTACAGGACCAGAACTGTAGTAGCCTTCGGAGAGATGCCTCCACTCTCAGTCTGCTAGCCCTGCCCCTTACATGCACCCTGTCTGGGAACAGGGAAACCAGGGAAAGCAGTTTTCCTGGAGGCACTGCTCTGTCTCTGGTTTCCAGTGCTGGGGGATTTCTCCTTCCGAGCACAAGGCCTCCATTCTGCTTTATTCTATTCTGTTCTTTCCTCAAGAAGCAGAGAGCAAAGTAATGGCAGCAGAAGAGATGCGGCTTGTTAAGAGTGGAGTGTCCGTGTGCTCCTCCAAACCTGTGTGCGGAAGTTGGTCTCCAGTGTGATGTTGTGAGGTGGGGCCTTTGGAAGGTGACTGCCTCATCACAAGGTGGAGCCCTCACGGATGGCTTAACGCCCTTCAAAGAGGCCCCGGAGCCACACACCCTCACGTGCAGACACGGCGGGAACCCGCCATCTGCAACTCAGAAGAAGGCCCTTACCGGACACAACTGCGCTCACCCTGCTCTGACTTCAGCCCCCAGAACTGTGAGAAATTAATTCCTGTTTCTAAGCCACCACTGTTTTAGCACTGTTTGGCACTCTGTTATAGGAGACTATGACATAGCTCTTTTCCGTCTGTAAGGTGCTCTCAATTTCTGTTTTAGGTAAAATATCCATTTTAAATTTTAAAAATATTATTTGAGAGAGGTGGAAGGATGGAGGGAGAGGGAGCAGGGAGACCTGCTATCCACTGCCTCAGCCCTCACTGGATGCCTGGGAGCCAGAAACTCAATCCAGGTCTCTTGGGTGGGTGGCAGGGCCCATGCGCCTCCCCAGGTGAGCAGCAGGAGGCTGGAGTCCGGAGCACAGCTGGGACTCTAACCCAAGCACCCGAGTATGGCTGTGGGGATCCCAGGAAGCATCTTCAGTGCTGCGCCAAATGCCCTCTCTCAGAAGCTTCATCTTAAAGATGAGGAGGTGGGAGGATGAGAAGGGCGAACAACTCAAAGCAGAACTGAGGACTCACACTCGGCCCCTCACTCCAAATCCCGTGCTTTGCCCGGCACACCAGCAGCGTGGGGGGGAGGACAGGGACTGGGAGGCCCCCGGCAGAGATGGGAGGTAGACGTGCGTGCGTGTGGAGGAGCTGCACTGTGTGGGCTGCCAGGCTGGCCTGCCTGCCCTCCTGTCTCGCCCCAACTCCTTCTACCCTCAGGAGCTTCAGAGGCAATGACACTTAATTTGAGGGTGGGAGGAAAAGCACTGTTCCAACCCTTTTTGTGATTTTTATTTCTTTAGTAAATGTGAAGTCCACAACCTTTTCCTCCCTTGCTGTGTGACTCTCAGAGTCCTCCATAGCTTTTGGAGCCCCGAGTGTCTCATTAGGGTAGCCCCGAGCTGCTGGATCCACATACCTTGTCTCTGTCCTGCCGCTCTTCACTCGACTCCTCCAGAATGCCTAACTCTTCTTCCTGGCTGTCCTCCACGAGGCTCAGTCTGACGGAATGGCAAACAGCAAGAGTTGTCAAGCTATTCAAGGACGCCTCAGAGATACCAGGGAGACAGGACAGGTGGGAGGTGGAGCGTGAGGCTCTAGGAGTCCGCTCCTGCCTCAGTCAGTGCTGCTTTTTACAAACGAGGCTTCCACAGGATGCTGGAAGGGAGTGCCCCGTAGGACACGGGCAGAGGAGCCCCAGGTAAGGCTGGGACCTCTCCCAGTGGATGATGGATCGGAGGTGCAGATGAAGAATGAGGACAAACACTTACTGGGTCAGCCGGCTGCCCAAACCAGGACCGGGAGGCTTGTGTGGAACGTGCAAATACTGCGAACTCAAGGACCTGGACTGCTGGCCGCCTGGCAGGAGCTGGCTGTTAAGAAAGTGGCACCATCAGTGACAGGATAAAAGCAAAGAGTGGCCGGCGCGGCGGCTCACTAGGCTAATCCTCTGCCTTGCAGTGCCGGCACACCGGGTTCTAGTCCCGGTCAGGGCGCCGGATTCTGTCCCGGTTGCCCCTCTTCCAGGCCAGCTCTCTGCTGTGGCCAGGGAGTGCAGTGGAGGATGGCCCAAGTGCTTGGGCCCTGTACCCCATGGGAGACCAGGAGAAGCACCTGGCTCCTGCCATCGGATCAGCACGGTGCGCCGGCCGCAGCGGCCATTGGAGGGCGAACCAACAGCAAAGGAAGACCTTTCTCTGTCTCTCTCACTGTCCACTCTGCCTGTCAAAAATAAATAAATAAAAGCAAAGGGTACAGAGAGGAAGTAAGGTGGCCGCTGTTACAGGAGAGAAAAGCTCAGAGTCTTGGGGAAAAGATAATTTTTTAAAGATTTATTTGAAAGGATTACACAGAAAAAGAGAGAGAGAGAGAATATGAATGAGAATCTTCCATCTACTGGTTCACTCCCCAAATGGCCACAGCTGAGCTGACCCGAAGCTAGAAGCTTCCTCTGGGTCTCCCACGTGGGTGCAGGGGCCCAAGGACTTGGGCCATCCTCTACTGCTTTCCCAGGCCACAGCAGAGAGCTGGATCGAAAGTGGAGCAGCTGGGACTTGAACTGGTGCCCCTATGGGATGCCAGCACTGCAGGTGGCAACTTTACCTGCTACGCCACAGCGCCGGCCCCAGGAAAAAGATTTTAAAGATAAAAACATGGAACAGATTCAGAGAAGAATCTGCACATGACGGATTACTCTAGGCAGGAACAAACACCAAACCAGAAACAAACTCACCCCTGAGTGAACTCCGATTCCATTTCTTCCAACCGAGCCAGGGGCTGCCTGCTCTTCACCACTGTGGAGGTGAGGGTGGGTGTGGGTGGGATGCTGTTCAGCTGCAGGCTTTCTTCCTGGGAGAGGACACCCTCCCTGCTGTGTCTGGAGGGGCCTGGGGGGCAACAGAGAGAGAAAGATCTTTCATCGGCTGGTTCATTCCCTGGATATCTGCAACAACCAGGGCTGGGCCAGGCTGAAGTCACGAGCTTCCTCTGAGTCTCCCACATGGGTGGCAAGGGACCTGGGACACCTTGCTCTGCCTTCCCAGGCTCATCAGAAGTGGAGCAACCAGGACTCAAAGACTCCCATGTGGGATGCTGGCACCCAGGCCACGCTTAACCCACTTTGCCATAGCGCCCGAGAATCTCATTGGCTGAGAAAACCATGGCAGTGTTAATATCAACTTGACAGGTGTTGTAAATAGCATCTGTTTCTTCCCCATGGCCCCAAAGTGAGTGGCTGCCGGTCTAGACAGAAAGCTACAGGAGACAGGGACGAGCCACACCCATAGGTTTTCATCCTGAGGGAACCCTCTGGGCCCTCCAGGGGATCCTCCTCGTCTTCTGAACCTGTTAACAGACTAAGGTCCAAGGGCTCAGACCTGGGCCCCTCTTTGCCATCTTCACTGGCTTCCTCAACCATCTAGTTTCACGCCCACCAGCTCCCACGCTGACCTGAAGCCATGAGCATCCCCAGCTGTTAAGTCCATCTCCACCTGGAATCATGTGACTAACACCATAGCTCTGATATTCTTCTGATATTCTTCCAATATGCCAAGAACACCCCCCATCGTGGCCTGTGGACTAGCCAGCTGCTCCTTCTGGTGTGCTGCTCTGAGATTCACTAGGTACACTCTCATCTCTGCTTAAAAAAATTAATTAGGGGGGCCAGCACTGTGCGCAGATCAACCCTCTGCCTGCAGTGCTGGCATCCCACGTGGGTGCCAGTTTGAGTCCCGGCTGCTCCACTTCCAATCCAGCTCTCTGCTATGGCCTGGGAAAGCAGAAGACGGCCCAAGTCCTTGGGCCCCTGCACCCGCGTGGGAGACCCGGAAGAAGCTCCTGGCTCTGGATCGGCATAGCTCCAGCTGTTGTGGTCATCTGGGGAGTGACCCATCGGATGGAAGACCAACCTCTCTCTCTCTCTGCCTCTCCTCTCTCTGTGTAACTCTTTCAAATAAATAAAGAAATCTTTTAAAAAAATCAAAAACTTTTGTGTTCCAAAGGTACCATCAACAACCCACAGGAGAAAATTTTTGTATATCATGTGTCTAATAAAGATCTTCTACCTAGAATACATCAATAACTCTTACAACTCAATAAAAAGATGAATAACTCAATTTAAAAATGAGCAGAGGACTTGAATAATTTCTCTAAAGA